CCCAGAATTCCCCAGCCAGCTATGCTGGCTGGGGAATTCTGGGAGTTGAAGTCCACTCATCTTAAAGTTGCCAAGATTGAGAAATTGGGTTAGGTATCAGGCTAGAAACTGGGAGATGGTGAGCTCTAGTCCCACCTAGGCATGAAGCCAGCTGGGTGATCTTGGGCCATTGCTCTCCCTGGGAAGGAGGCAAGGGCAAACCACCTCTGAAGTCTTGCCAAGAAAAACCGCAGGGACTTGTCCAGGCAGTCACTGACCTGAAGGCACAAAAACAACCCCAAACAGCCTTGGGCACTGGAACAGCATGGTTGGGCTGGGGGCCCAGGCATCTCCCTCTCCAACATCTCACTAAGTTCCTCAACCACAGCTGTCCTAGCCTGGACCACTGGTTGAAAGGAAAGGCACTCCGTTTCAGGCCCTTGGGCTACCGGGCTGAATGACTGTATCCCTTTGCAGTGCAGTACAAGGGAATTGAAGGAGGGAGCAGCCCCACATTGCCTCTCTGGAGGAGGATTTCTGATATTTGCGAGGATGAATGGGGTGCGGAAAACGATCCAGGGCTGTTGTGTGCAGATCTCTTGGCCAAAGCATGTGTAAATAAGCTCTCTGGCCCTTGTGACCTTGATCAGCCCAAGCATCAAAGTCCTCTACAGCCAGTGCTCCAGGATTTCCCAACAGAATTTGGCAAATCGTGGCAACCGTTCAATCCAGCCTCGTAGGAACGGTATCCTGGGTTGGAATGCAGCACATTGGAAAATGCTGTGTTGTGCTTGGCTTGTTGTCATTTCACTGGAAAGCATGCAAGTAGTAATGAATATGCGTTTCCTTACAGGGGGCACAGGAACTGGGAGAAGGTTGATTCAGGTCTGGGTTGCCTAACCGAAGTGCAGGCCACAAAGTCTGCAGGGTGTCTTGGGAGAATTCCTCACAAACACAGGCAAAGGAAGCTCAGTTTTTGTTAGCCCTGCGAGGTAGCCCAGACAAGCACAACCAGCTAGCTCTTTCTTTATTGTAAGGTTACATTAACAGAATCTTGCAAGACTGAAAGTATTTCTCGCCTCCTTTCCTTTTACTCACCAGAAAACTAGCGAGCGTCCCTTCTGAAACATTTCCCACATCTCCCCTCCTTCTGTGGGCTGAGCGACCTTTTACAAGCTGATTGTCCGGTTTGCGGCTCTCCTTCCTGTCTCCCAAGGCCATTCCCACATACCATTACAGTTTTAGCCCAATTAAATGATGCTCCTAAAGAAATTGGGAAAAAAAGGACACATTAAATGGCTACTCTTGTTCACCTCTAAACAAAACAAAATTACTCAGTGTGGACACTAGGAAAGTGATCAGATGAGTCACAACAGAGGAAACATTTCTGGACTCTTGCAGCTAATAGGAAACGGTGATCCCAGAATTCAGCCTAAAATAGTTTACCTTGTAATGCAAAGTAAACGAATCATTCAACTAAAAATAAAGTATTTTGAGCAGAATGGTTCTAGAGGTGATTTCTCAAGAAGTCAAAGAATTTTGGTATTTTTGCATTAATTTCTGATGAAACCAAGGAAATGCTTACGCAGGAAGAAATATCAGGTGTTCTCCATTGTTGCTACAGTGGCAATATGTTGGAGAATTTGTCCCTGGATACTATTTAACTCATTTGTTATATAAAGAATATGCCTGTTGTGGCATAGATACGAAAACTTGCATAGTACAAACCAGTGATGGTGACAATATCATGAGTGCAACACTAAATGATACTGCCAGCAAAACAAGCTATTTGTGTTCATTGTTATGACTACAGCTTGAACTTGGCAAATTGATATCTGTAAAAACATAGACATATTCAACAATTATATGTGTTTGCGTCAGGTTCCTTTGTGTATTTATGTTTCACTGAATTGCAAGAAAAAGGTGGGAGCACAATTATTGAAAAACTTGTCAGACACCCGCTGGGTATGTCAGACTGCCTCATGTTTAACTGTTGAAATCAACACCTGGAGTAATTTTTATAACTTCTGAATATGATCAGCAATGAATCTAGTTGAGATTACTTTTTTTTTTTTTTTAGTGAAGTGCTTCTTGAATTTAAAATAATATCAGATTGTGATGTGGCTCAAGTTTTTTTTTTCTTATTTACTATTAGATAAACTGAAGATTTGAGGGTTCATGCGGAGAATTTTAACAAAATTATGACTGATATAAGGTTATTGCAGAAGAAAATTCCATCAACATGCAAAGAAATGAGAATTTGCTGTATATCCCCCAAATTTCAAAACTATGTTATTACTGAACTCAACACAGCAGAAAGTCTGTTTCCCAAAATTGTCATTTTAAAGTCAAGGCTCTATTTGTGATTGAACATTCAGTAAACTTAAATGATGATTTGCAGACATTGTTAGCGTTTTCATGCCCGCATCAAATTAAGACCTATTTGAGGAAAATGTGTGTATTTTTAGCCCTTGAATTACTTCTTTATTATTGCAATGTAAAGACTGGTGCTGTGTTATGACTGAAGCCCCACCCCTTTTGCACGTGCGTGTATTATAAGCTTGTACATGAAACAGGCAGCACCTGGACTGCAGATTTTGACCCCTCCCTGCAGACTTTTCTCCTTTGTTGCCCAAGCTATAACAGAGTCTTTAACCACCTTGAAATTAGTTGGTTTCTGTTGCTGCCACTGGCTTTGCACAATCTTTCAGTCTGTATTTGGGGCATGGTGGGGCAAGGAAGGTGCTTGACCAGCTGCTGGCTGGTTGGAGGCTGTCAGCCCCTCTGCTGAAGCAGGTCTTCAGCTACTGGTTTATTGGAATCTACACTTGCTCATCCTTCATTGTCAGTTGTCCGTGGTGCTGCACTGTATCCTGACAGCTGCTCCACTTTCTGATCTACAACTTCTTCCTCTCTGCTCTGGCATGTGACAAGGAACTTCTTTCCACACTCAAGCGCTACCTGCATTTTCCTTTTGTAATTGGAATCCCAGGTGTGTTCAAGGCTCCTCCTGCTGTCTTAAAATCCAGGGGAAAAAGGCTACAAAAGGAAGAATGGTTTTCATGTCCTTCCATATTACCTCTCTCCATCCCCGTCCATCCATCCATCCATCCATCCATCCATCCATCCATCCATCCATCCGATTTATATCCTGTCTTTTCATTCTGATTCCTTCACTGGGGGAGCCCTTTGCTCTCCATCAGCCTACCTGCGGTTGTCCTGATTAAAATAAATTAAAAAATTAAAAACCTCTGCCCCGTTTTAATATGTTTGTTTCACTCAGGAATAGAGGAAGCTGTGAATGAAAACAATGCGTAATCTCTCTGTTCATTCAGTGGTGGTTTTGAAGTCATTCCAAGAGAAGTGCTGATTTCAGAGAAGCTGTTTGCTGTGTCGCTGGGCAACTTTCTCCTAATACAGTATACAGGCCCTCTTCAGCTGCCATGTGTCAGCAGTCTGCTAAAATGGATTGCTCACAAATCAAAGTTAAATGAAATATGATGGGAAAGTCATCATGAGTTTGTGTGAATTTAGCAATAGGCAATAGAGCATGGGACAAATAATTAATGAAGATACTAGAAAATTTCTATTGTAGAGTCAGAAAGTAGGAAGGACTTTCTTACCACACAGTTGCTCTGTAATTTGTGCAAGTCTTCCTTTTACTAAAGGATTTGTTACACCATAACTCTCAGTGTTATTTGGGAGCAAACAAGCCTCTTGATGTTCTTGGATCATAGCTCCTATCATCCACAGCAACCATGGACAATACCATTCAGTAATCCTGAAGCACCCTAGGTTGCCACATCTCATGTATGGTTTTGAGAGTGAATTGCACTGGGCAAGAAAACCAAGGCACATGTTTATGTGAACAGAAGAAACTTTGCAAATCTCTGCCATTCAAGCTAAAGAGAGTCTGCAGACAACAAGCGCCTATTTTATAGGCAGAAATGTTATAAATTCATTAATACAACATAAAAATGCAGTTGTTCCTCAGCTTATCTGGATGAAATCATCTACCTGGAGCCATGAACAGATGAAAACATCCTGGGGTGGTGGTGGTGGTGGTGGTGGTTAGAAATCTGTTCCAGGAAGGGCTAAGAGTCCCTGTGGGTAGGCTTAGAAAGCTGGTAAACTATTTGAACTACAGTGGCCCAGCAGGTCAGTATTTAGTAACTTTCACATGAACAGTCTTCAGTAACCTTCATGCGAACCTTTGTAGAAAGAAGTACAAACAATTCTTGTGCTGAACTTCTGAAATTCAAATGCCCTAGAAGGCTTTCTCAACCTTGCTTATTTATTTACTGGGGCGGATATGCATTGTAATTCATACACACTCTGACCTTCATTGACCATTGTGGCAAGCTACAGGACTTCTGAAATTCAACCAGCAGGAACAAGTGGCCCAGTGTTTTGGGCTTTGTGAATAGCCATCTTATCCTTCATCACAGAAATAG